TTTGGGGAACGCTAACAATAGCTAATTTGATATATTAGGGATCCACTCTGTACTTTAAGTAGATGACTTTACCACATAATAACTGTATTAAGAGAACCACAAACTTGCTAAGGAATAGATCTCTTAGCTTTTTTAGGTGCGTGCTTGTCGATTTTAAGAAAAAGAGTTGCTATAAAACTCAGTATGAGATACGAGAAGACGTTTACATAATTCTCAGAACGAGGCTATGTAATATTTCCATGGGCAACCTTAAACCAAACGTTTTGTAACACTGTTTATGGATTTGGACATTTTACACTGAAGTGATAATAATTACATTTAAAATAAAGATAATAAAAGCCTGACGAATAAACTAATAGTTAACAGCGATCCTGTTTCCCCCTCTGAGGCAAATATACTGATGATGTGAGAGGCTATGCCAACGACATGGCTATTCAGATTTGTAATAAGAATGATCTTCAACAAATGGATAGCGGCTCGGATTGAGGAATCGGAGAGCGAGTTCGAATTCCAGTCGAATCCATCAAATTCCTACCTTGGGAAAGGTAGAAATCCTCTTCTTCTCCCCCTAGGTAAATAGCAGGACAGATCGGGTTCTATAGTCTTGGATGGCAACTGGTCTACCGCAGAAAGAAATGGTAACCTACTGCGGGAAAAAAATCTGCTTCGTCAGTCACGTATCGAAAGATACATGATTGCCTAAGCACATAACTGACTGACCAAATATTCGAAGAAATAGTGCCCAAGTTAAACATTTCCAAAATAGAAACTATGATCTGGAATTGGAATGTAAGCAATGATGGCCCAGGATACTAAATGTTTAAATACTAAACACTTCAAATATTAAAAACAGATTAGTATAGTAGGTAAGGAAGTTGAATAGAGAATAGGCTGTTTTAATTTCTCCAAACGTCGTAAATTGTTATAAAACTAAAATATTAACCTAAAAACTCGAGTCATGTTCTTAAATAGCCTCATCGAATCGAGGCTTCCATGTGGATGCCATGCAAGGCACCAAACTTGTTCAGAAATATTTCAGCTGTCAGCTGCATGCAACTACTTTCTAAGATTAATGGTTCAAAATGGCCTTAAACGAGTGAAACATGTGGAACTTGGTGAAGGCCATCTTTCTTCGAACATTATCGGCTAATGTTACAGAATCATAAACAAAGAACTGTACTAAATAACAGAAACTATATCAACAACAACAATTAATCAAATGGATAGGACATATGACACAATAAGAAAACAATGACATCATTAAGATTTTAACGTTCCATTCTACTTCAAACGAAGGTTTAGGAAGAAAACCCCAATCAATACTGGAAAGATTGATAACAGCTACTGGACTTGAGAAACCTATTTTCCTGAAAAATTGTTTTAAGAGTTAGATTTTTAAAATTTCAACCGACAGTTTTACTGGTTTCTTGGTCAATGAACGCTAAGTATTTCCTTATAAGGAAACGGCTAATATTAACATTAACATCGGCTTACTTGTTTCATTTTGCAGGTCCGTCAACAGTTTGAAGGATACAGGAATAATAATAATAATAATAATATTGAAAATTATTTATCTAAAATGTAACAAGGTAAATTAAAACTAGTAAATTGTAGATATATAATACATTACGTGCCATGGTTTAGATAAGTAGAACAGTGGCAATAAATGCCGAAGTCGTAGGTGTTCTGTCGGGTTTTAAGTCTATTCTTTTGTGAGTCTTTCCACCTCTTAGTACATTAGAATTCAGGTGACAATTATTAAATTGATATATTATAAAAACAGTTTTCATGTTAAGCAGATGATTACACAACACAATAAGGATATTAATAGAAGCACGAATTGATATATAACACGATATAAACTATTCAGCTTGCTTAGTTTTTTGCTGTAATGTCTATAACCTTTTCTGCACTAGAGTTGTCTTCCTTTCACTGGCGACGCCAAGTGCCAGTATCTTCGTGAAAGTATAGAGTACATATATATATATATATATATATATATATATATAATTGAGAAATATATTTACAAACTTACATGTTAAAACTTTTTAATAATGTCAAACAGTTAAGAAAATAGGTTGCCATTTTTACGGCATAGGTAAACTAGTATTAATATAACTTTCTACTAGGCATTGTTCAGATCTTGCTTGATCAGCAAAGCTTCTTCGTGACCCAGTTGGTTAACGCACGTCGGATCTAAAGACAGTTTCCCGTGCCTAGGAGGACGCAGGTTCGGATGCTGCGGAAAAGCGCATATTTTCTTTGATTTGTTGAATATTCTGGTCGGTAAATGAAAATAAATAAACTGAGCGTTTATTTAAATATGGGTATCCACTAAAAATAATGTTTAAAGTGATAAAAAATCTGTCGGATTAATAAATAAAATATCCTTTACTTCATTCAAAAAATACTGGACATAAAATAATACGTCTGAACTGTTGTGTAAATGAAAACTTTTTCAAAACATCCTTCTCGGATAACTGCTAAGCTCTTTGATATGAAATTTATGTCTAACTCTAGGTTAGACGACAAAGACCATCCTTTACCTGACTTCCCCCACCTCACACAGCACAATGACCTCTATATCGGCTCGGAATGTTTCCAGACAGGATATATGGAGGAAAGAGGAGAAACAACAAATAACCTGCCTAATGAGCTTGTATAAATGAATGGCTGAACAGAGACTGGAAGATATAGTATGGGCAAATATTGCAAAGGGTAGGCAGTTGTGGAGAGACACCATCGCCCACGCCGTGAATGACACATTACATAAAAGTCCCTAGCGATAAAAGTAAAGAAAATCGCTGTTAGATCCAATATAGCCTCTAATATCTCAGACATAATCGCATAGACTGAAGGAGAAAGCTTCCTTTTATTTGATAAATTCGAAGAATCACCGTGCAATGGTATTATGAGCAATTGGCTTATTTGAAAGACTAACATCCGATAGAATGATAAAAGTGAACAATGAATTTGAGTAAACTAAAATAGGTGTCAAAATCCGACTTACAGGCCTCTTCGTAATGAGTTATCCTAAGAAATTGGAACGTGAGAGAAATAGAATTTTCTAACCAGAATTTGTGTAAAATAAAGTAGACATCAAATTTATAAACTAGTTTGTTGACCTACGTCCTGGAATGAGATCGACAGATATCTCCACCAACCTACTGTTTAAAGCAATGAAAAAAGTCAATAGAGTTAGAAGGAATCCTCGGGATAAATGAGAAACTAATCTTTATGACAGGCTCCGCAGTAGCAGGCGAGCTGCTGTAAATAATAATAAAAAAAACAACAGACAAATGCATCTATTGCAGCTAATAGAAACGAAATATGATTGAAACATGTTTTACTTCAGGTGTGTTATATTAGAGCCTTCAGTTTAGTGAAGAGCATTGGATACTCAACGGTGTGTACAAAGTGAGTTCTCAGCAAATCCATAAAGAAACAGGTGTTTGCTTCGCAATAGCTCCTAGAACTGCATAACAGGGATAGGTCTTTCTTAAGCAAGATGGGGCTTAGGTTTACCACTATAAACAAGACTGCAGATGAAACAGAATGGGGTGGCGCCACCCAGACCTATGCAGAAAGATGTTTAAGGTATCAAGCTTTGTAAAAGTGATGGTCCTCAGTATCAATTGACTCTTATTGTCAAAACGCAGACCTCGGCTTCTTCATGCTTGAAGACGGATGGTGTGTGTTTGCAGCATGATAATGCAGGCCTTCATCTTAAAGACAAAGCAAACATTCGCAGCTCGTGGTTGAATGACCTTGCCTCATTTACCCTTCAGTATGGATCTGGCACATTCAGACCGTGAGCTCTATGAAGGTGGCACTCGGAGTATAGCAGTTCTACAGTCTGAAACTGACCACGCTTGAAATACAGCAGACCCCCTTATCTTGTGCCAAACTAAAAATTAAATTTACATATCTACAACAGAAAAACAGCGCTTCCCGTGCAATTTAATTATAATTTCCGAATGTGTTGCGAACTTACGAATATCACCAAAATTATCATTAAAATATTGATAAATAATCCAGTAGTCACCTTCTATTGCATGACAAAGGTTCCAAGACCCAACTAGCGGATAATACGTAAACCGCGGATAGTACGGAAACCGCGGATAGTACGGAAACCGTGAATAGTACGGAAACCGCGGATAGTACGGAAGACTGTATATACTTTTTCTTAATAATGGAAACATACTTATGATAAAACTTTTATTTTAAAATCAAGCATTAATAAGCAATAATAACTAATAATAAAATAGATTAGTATAACATTACCTCCTGACCATAACTCAACAGGCTTCAAGTTGGATCTGGTCAAGATTCATAATAAACAAAGTTAATTAAAACCATTCTCGCAACACAATGCCACTTCCGACGTGAAATATATTTATTCTACGTCATTGATAACGGTCGCTTCGAGCGTGTTGTGTATTGGTTAACGATCAAAAGAAAAGGCTTTTAGCATAACGTTGAAAATATGACTTGCAGTTGCAAAAAAAAAAAAAATTGCAAGAGACTGACACGTCTATGCAAAAAACAATACTCTGTCCGGTAGCAAAAGCTGCTGCTGCTGGTGGCGCCAGGGGTGGCAGTACAACCTTAGCCACTGAAACTGCGTTACCTCCACTGAAGGTTCAGGGTATAGCACGTGCTTTCACACGTTGTATCTAGAATATAATAAAAGATGTGACGAAAACAAGATCCGTACTTATCGGAGATCTTCTTAGCCGCAATAAGAGTGACTGATACGTTTTCGACGGCTTATCAACCCTTTGCAGGTTATTTAAAGCCAGAGAATATTTTTAGATTGTAAGACCTTTTTGGAGATAATAATGGTTTAGTGAACAACTTTTACTAATTAACCCATAGCTGGGGGAAGAAGATGGTAATTTGCGCGTAAGTGAATATAACGAACCTAACAGGAACTGAAACTCGGCTCTTCGATTAACAACTCCGAGCCGTTATCCATTACACCACCCTCACATTCAAGTTTACAGCACCTGATATTCCGAAGCGGTCAATCATCTAGGTACTGACCAGGCTCGACGTTGCTTAACTTCGGTGAATGTATGGGAACCTATGTTTCAAAATGATTGGCGATAATAAAATATACTGAATGAAAAGTTGTGTATCCGACAGAAGATTCATTCTTACTGTAGATTTTATCAACTTCAGCATTCGATTTTTTCTTTCCTTACCAAGTCGAGAACATTCAGGTTTTCATTTAAAACGAACATTTTACAACTTCACTTGAAATATCAACATCACCATTCACCAATCACAATTTTGTGATCATTATTAAGTAAAACCTGTGATTTGTTTATTTCTGTTGTTGATAATAGGAGACTAATGTTGGAGTTATCTCCTCCTTAATTTCCTAATTATTCACTAGGGCATGCTCTCACTACACTATAAATGCTGGGCGACTTAATGCCTCGTTCTCTTTTTACTTTGCATTTCAGCGGACACATTTAAAGGATGTGATCTCTCGCAGAAATTCGCGTTTTGCCTACTTGTGGGAAATCGCCATGAAACACACATACGCGGACGTACAAACATTCACCAAAATACAAACTCTTTACGTTCACACACAAACACAAGTGTTGATGTCTATGTCCATTGTAAATTTTGTTGTTTAATACATATACTTGTTTATATATATATATATTATATATATATATATATATATATATATATATATATATATATATATCGGTCTTTTTGTTTTCTTTACATCTTCGGTTGGACTCAACTTGAGTCCGCCATATTCTTGTAGTGGACCTTTTAATTCTATCACGTGTTCCTAATTTAATAACACGTAAACTCACGGTCTTGTACACTAGTATCATCCCAGTGAAATATCAAGACAGTAGATAATACGACCCCAGAGCAGGCCGCATCTTCTTCAGTTCCTTCAAAACAAGAATCTTTGTCTTGTAAATGTTTCTTCACTGACCGATTGTATGTCATCTCCACAATATAAAAATCTACGGTTGATAAACAAAATATCGTCTCGAATTATATTTGTTCACAAGATCTGTAATATTTTTATTTGATTGTTTTACTACAAAGGTCTACAAAGCTTCAAAAACAAAAATAGCCAATCATTACTAACTTGGGAAATAAAAATGGTATTCTAATTGTTGATTGGCTCTAAACTTTAAGACTTAATCCTATTGTTATATGACTATTTCATCAAGTGTTGGTTCCTGCAAAAGATAAAGCATAATAAAAGTCAGGTACTTCCTGGAGCAACAGAATGAAAAGACCATCTAGTAATCTATCGTATATATGAGCTCCACTTGGGATCTGACGTGAACTTGAGATACAACAGATGTTCAAAGTGAAGAGCTCGGCTTCTTCAAGCTTGAAGATGGATGGCGTGTTTTGGCAGCATGATAATGCAAGGCCTCACATCTTAAAGACCAAGCAAACAATCGTTTTATTGCCAGTTGATGGAAATATAAAAAAAAAACCGCCTTGAAGTTTGAATTAAGGAAAAAGACAAGACTTGAACGGACTGTGCCTTTCATGGACGACACGTCAACCAATTCAGTCACGAAAGCGTATGGGTAAATGGGACATAAATTTACAGCCACCCTCCCCCACTTCCAACACGAAAATGACGAAAATATTAGCCAGAAATGAATGATAAAGCATAATGACATTCAGAAAATAAGGTTGAACAAGATTGGTCTAAATGTACTGATGTACATGTGTTAGTGTGATACGTGATACACATGATTGACGGGGCGGATTTTTTTTCCCGCAGCAGGTTGCCATTTCTTGATGCGGTAGACTGGTAAGGCTAAAGAACCCAATCAGTCTTGCTGTTCAACCTATAACTTGGGGGAAAAGAGATGGATTCATACCTTTCCCAAGGGTACTTGAACGTAAGTGAATCTAATGAACTCGGTTGTAATTCGAACCATTACACCACAACGCACATCCATACAAACACACACACACACATATATATATATATATATATATATATATATATATATATATACACACAGATATACAAAGCCCAAAATATCCATATGTCTCATAAGGTTATACCAGGCACATTCATCACAGCCAAATGTGCACAATATGGTAAATTGTTTTGATAAAATAGTGTATAACCTTGCAGTTAGGGGCCATTTAGAATTACAAGCATTTAGGCACCTTGCTATAATGCTCTAACACCACTTGAAATTATCAACAGAAATGCAGGACATACCCAACTAGTTAGGGTCAAATAATTGACAAGCAACTCTGTACCACTAAACAGGATAATTATTATGGTCCACCTTAATTGTTTTAATCATTTCACCCAAAGCAAGGTGACAATACCACTAAAACGCAACGGGAGCTAAAGGGGGTGAAATTGAATGAAAATGAGAAGATTGAAAATCGGACGGATTAAGGAAGGGGAAAAACAGGAACAGGATTCAAGGGGACAGAAGATGGCGATTGACGTTGCATCTAATTTTTTTAAGATTGTAGTTATCAGGGAAGAAAGAAATCGGGAGTTTCGCCGGTGGGAAGTGTGAGAAAAACACTTACAGTAGAAATCTAGCTAGTTCAGCAATAAAGTAGTGAGACCTAATTGCCAATCTAGTAGCACGTTTACATTTATGTAGTCGGGGCACAAGGAAAGCTTGTCCGAGCAGTTATCATGCATTTTTAAAAAAAAAATAAAAATAGAGCAAACCTCCGTTTCTTCCCCCTCTCCCTCCAGCCTGCGGTGTAAATCGCGTCTCCAGCGTGAGAGAACAATGATGACGTCTTTCCACTGGTAGATGCCTATGTCCATCACCTTCATGTAAAATTTACAAGAATAATTTTATATTTACAACATTCTAAAAACGAATGAATTTGCAAATATGAAAATAATTTTTATTCATAGATTTATAAACATTAAATTAATTATTAAAAAAATCTTTTACCATTCTATAAAGTTGGAATCGATTGGGATTTACCAACGCTTTTGCCAAGCATTCCAATAAACAATCTAATAAATAAACAATGTTTATTATTTTTGTTGTTAATTCTCAAGAACAAAGCAAATGTATAAATTCCCTTTCATATGTTTTGGTTTTATTAAAATTCTAATCATCGCTTTTTAAAACAATAAACATTGCCGAGGGAGTGAAGGTAATTAAAATAAAAGCGGTGTCAAGAGAAAAACTGTCCTTATGATACTCCGTTTCTTTTTTGTTTTCTGTTTTTTTTTGTTTGTTTGTTTTTGGGGGTTTTTTTTTTTTCGTTTTCTTTTTTTGGCACGAGGGTCCCAATTTACCGAAATGAAAATAAATGGAACGTAAAAATGCTTCGTAAGTCGCTTTTTATATGTGTTGATTAATTTTTTTTTTTTAAAGTGTCATAAGCCACTGGCGTATAGAAAAAGTTTCACAATACAGGTTCATGGAAAAACGTTGCAAATCATTGGACGATAGAAATGGGCTGGAAACTGCAGAACAGCAGAAATGCATTTAATATCACTGGATAGGTTGATTTGATTTTTTTTTTTTTTTACAGTTTATCAACCCTTCGTCAGTTATTTAAAGCCGTAAAATATTTTGAATCGTAAGAATAATTCCTTTATTTGCAAGTGAATATTGCAGCAAAAATTTTTTGGAGATAATATTTTTTTTAATATAAAAGTTTTACTATTTAATCCAAAGCTGGAGGGTAGAAAAGATGAATTCATACCATTCCCAATGGTATTTGCGCGTAATTAAATGAATCAAACACGACTGGATTTTGAATTCGTCTCTCATATTTCCAATTCCAATCTGATAGTTACGCGAAAATATGAAAGGAAAAATTTCGTACATTAACAATGCTGTGAGGATGGTGTAAATAAATATCAAAATATTGATTATCTACGTGCATATAATTTGAACTTACACTCATCCTTAAAAATCCAGATTTCATTTCTATGGAGCAGTGATGGAAAGGCTGTTGGGGGATGATTTCTGAGTAACGAGCCAGGGTGAATAAGACCGACTGCCGTATCAAATTCTTTATAGATGTCATTGGAGATACGTCGACCACTGTTTGAATCTGAATACAATTCGCTTACCCCTGCCACCAGCGTCATATTATCCCACCCGAGGGCAGACAACGGTAATGTTTCATTCTTTCCTTTCAAAACAAGAGTTAGAACACTGGGTAAGTCGGAGAGAAGGAATTTGAGACCTCGAATATATATATATATATATATATATATATATATATATATATATATATATATATATATATATATAAAGAGTACGAGTGAAAAGGGGGTAATAGGCATCAAATTCTGATGCTGGTGTAAAAGGGCACGTGATATAAATGAAGATTTACAATATTTCAATTGTAATTCCAGATTCCGGATTCCGACGATTGTAAATGGCAAAGCTCGCGTCTGGCGGGAAAGACTAAGAAAACAGAGAACGCCTCACTTTTAGCAGCGAAACAGAATTTTACAACTTGATTACATCGGTGGGAACATTAGAAACGGTCTTCACTTCAACCCAGGGTTATCGACATTAAAATCAAGGTAACCATGTCTGTTAATATTTATGTCAAAGTGCTGCTGAAGATTTTACAAGCGCACGATTAAATTCAAAATCGCAAGAAGACTTATATTCTATTTATTCGTTATTTTTATAGATACAATTATTTAAGTAAATGCTCTGTTTATAATAAACAGTATTAACGACATTTACCGGCCTGAATGTCCGAGAAATTTGATAGAAACTTGTATCCTATACGGAACCGTCATTTGACTTGATTAAGCTACAGAGGAAGCGTCTGGTTACCAAAGTCCAAATAAGTTTAAGAAAAAATCCCCACGATCTTTCTCGAACGATCATATTTGTCGAAAAACGTATCTTAATTGCAGCCCATTTCTATCGTCCAATGATTTGCAACGTTTATACTGTTTATTAAAAACAGAACATTTACATAAATAATTGTATCTATAAAAATAACGTATAAACAGAAAATATATTAAAATAATTGTCGGACTTAGTTCATTCCATTATTATGATATATATATATATATATATATATATATATATATATATATATATATATATATATATATATA